TTTTCGTAATACGAAGGCCTAAGAGCTTTCTGTATTATATTGGTTAGAAAGTTACAGTGAAACATTATTTTAGATTAAAAGTCGTTATAGACCTATTGTTTGCTTCTTGCTCTTGAGTGCCGTGTCTTTAATGACACTATTTTAGACAAAGTGCGCATCAAACAGTGATAATTTTGTTTAAAAGGAATTCGATACGTTATCGTTACTTTTGACTTTACTCTATCACTTTCTACTGCCATCTTCACTTTTTTATGCAAACCAAAGGGACAATTGTATTTATGTTCAATTGATATGTTAATACAAGAAATACAACTTTGGCCATGGTTCCACACAATATGCGCAGCTTCAAGAATCAAGAATCAAGAATCAAGAATTTATTGACCATTCAACAATTACATGCTATCAGTCTCGTCACAAAAAATAATTACAAAATGTTGCAAAAACGCACACATCAATGGTGCTTCAAAACAACGACTCTAAACACGAGAGTGAACTAAAGAACTATTCTTGTAAGTAAACCCTGACAATCAGGCAATTAATTTTTGGTCCAACTAACACCAAATTTACTGCGCCTTAATGCCCAACAGAATGTATAGTTTCCTGTTATGATAGGGATGAATCTATAAATTCATCTCCGTTCCTTCAAATTATAAAGCATTCTTCTGACGAAATTTCGAATTACTTCCAAATCAGCCTGCTCTCTGCTTGAACTTCGAAATACCAAGTATATCAAAAATACAAATGCGGTAAAACTTTGAAATATCAAGCTACGGACTGAGCTATTATTTTGAATTGAATGTTTGAATTAGGTACCAAGAGTAGACCGCACATAGAGATCCTATGTTTTTTAGCTCTAGCATTCTTTTGGATCTTAAGGTGTCTTATTTACACGTATTTGGTTTGATTTAGCCAAAACGAAAACAGCTCTAGTATGAAGAAAATACGTTACGCCTTTTTACTTTATCCCCCTATACATAGTATATTGTGAACTATTGTTTTTGTCGAGATTTTTGAGTTTCAGGTTTTGGTAGAAATAACCGTTTTGGGACCCACTGAACCCGAAAAAGTGGTTTTTGAAGTGGTCTGTATGCAAGTGTGTGTGGGTGTGTACAGAGCCACAGTGGTTCAATTTTGATTAGTTTTCGTAATTGGGTACTAATCTATAGTATATCTCGATTTCTATCAAAATTTAGTATGTCTTAGGCCCTTTAACGCCAAACAAAATGGTGCAACCACAATGTTGTAAAATTTACAGTTCAAATTTTATAGCAATTTTTGAGATTTTACCTATGGAATATGATAGTTACTCCCGCCGTTTATCCATTATAAGGATTGTCGACAAGCTAAGGGGAGAAAGTATGTGTCAGTTTGTTGATAGCGTTTATTCGATAGATTTACAGTGTTGTAGGATCTTGTATCTGACTCTATATTAAGTCTAATAATTATTTCAAACCAATTAGAGTACGTTAGAATTCAACATTAGTATCGTTCCAATTCTCGATTTGTCTATACCGTTGTAACGTATGACTATGCACGTTTAGACTTACATGCCCCGGTTATCAGTTAATTTAATTCTCGTCTTTACGTTGGATCTCAAATGTGTGTGTAAGAAGATTCTTGACACGCACCATAGATTAAACACTCCCTCATAGATCAAATGTCTTATACAGATACAGATCAGTGGAGATCATTTTGAGGCATGTTTATGTACGGTACATGCAGAGTGGGTTTTGGTTTCGAATCTTTATTTATCGTAACCTTAACCTATTTTAAAACTAGTTTGACGATATTTATTCGATCTATTTACAAATTATTGTTCGTCCTCTGGTGTTATAATAAAAGAGTGAAGCCCGTGCATTTGAATTTACCTTCAAATAAGAAACAAAGATATAATGACTAATGTTTACAAATTTTCTTAAGACTTACCAGACATTTAACCGCATCGAAATATGCATGAGATTGTACAATCGGATGATCAATTTACTTGCCGTATCCAAAGTTAACGGTTTGACTTACTTCTAACAAACTTGGCAGATAACATATGGAGCCCGTGATCATCTCAACAATGGGGATTTGCGAAGATTTACAAATAATTATATTTGATAACTCGACCCTTAGCTGGAAATGACTGACAATAATGAAACAAGACACACTTATACAACATTACATGAATACAAGTGTTAATAATGTGTCACAAACGTATTGTACTTTTTATAAAACTCTTTTTTGTTAATTAATACAACTTCCCACCTTGTGTCCACGCCATCATTCCTACAGGTTTTGGGTTAGAGCACGCGATCAAAGTATAAGTGTAAAGTAGGTATTTAGTTACTATGAACAAACATGGCTTTCTATTTACTCTCCGGCGTGGACAATGGACAATTATTAATCTTTTGCACTTGATTGCCTGCAGCATTTTAGTCTAAGCTAATAAGCTATTAAGTGAGAATAACTGACTCTGTTTTGGAGAAGTATCACCTAATCGAATCTTTAACACTAAACCATACGACAATCTGCCTAGCGCTGAAATAGTATTTACAAGTAAACCCGGATGGGTTCGTTCTCGCTTCCTGAGCCATGAATTTAAACTACTATATCGTGCACCTACTTACATATGACACTTACTTACATAGAACACCAAATACATATCCTTTTGTGGTGAGTTTTTAAGCCCATAGTTTTTCCACTACATTTAGCTGACGAAATGGTTTATGAATGTTATCACAAAACACGAAAATGTACGAGCGTGATTTGATAGGCCTGTGTTCGTTTCGTGTTTTGTGTTAAGTGTTAAATGTTTGTAACTCATTCTAAGGACTCCTTCAGAAGTTAACCCTTTTGTAAGCCTGACGATGGTGGAGTTAAAGAACCGCCGAAACATATGTAGCAAGTTTTAAAATACGACAGTACAGTACATGTTAAGGATTGTCTGATGAGGTATGTTTTTTACCATTACTAGCCAGATTTCAAGATGATTTTACTCAAGCAGATTAACATAACTGTCCACAATACTTTATCTTACAGTAATTGTACATTCATATTTGTATGGCAAGTTTCCTTGTACCGTTTTGGTAATTTTAAATGCATTAAAGTATTTCAGATGGATAAAATACTGCAAAGATCCGAAAACTAAGGGTAGATCATGCATACATGCATGTCTATTTCTTGATCATAAACTCTATGCGCCCAAACAGGTTGAGAGCTCAGAGCTGTATGCAGAGGCAGAATATAACATAGTACGCAAAAATAAGTGAACTTTCTTTCCCTGTAGACCCATCTCCAGCCCATGATGTACAATCTTGGCCCTGGTTTGTACCTAAGCTGCAGTGTTTAGTAAAGGGGGATTAAACGAGGAATCAATATAAATGAGACTCCAAGATACAGGATCGCCATTGTAGTTTAGGTGTGAATTTTAGAATACGCTCTAGAGTCTAAAACTGGCAAGCCAAAAATTCAAACATTTAATCAATCAGAAAGAAGACATTGTAATTTTAGATTAATTAGAACGATTCTGAGATACTTCCAGGTTCTAAGATGTAGATGGTCGAAAGATCGTCGGTCGTTTGACAATTATACTAACAAGAGGTTAAATACCTTGTCGCCCATGTAATCCTTGGTCACCATTCAGACGATAGAGGGTTTCATGGGCAACAAGGTATAACGGGAATGTCGACTGAATACACGTTGAACGTCAGTGGAGCGATCACCGACACCTGAGAAAAACCATCTTTGGACTTCTCAAAACTACTATCTATGCCTCCCTCCCAAATGTATTTCTATCAGTCTGTTCGAAAGCACGAATGTTATTATTGGATCAGGAACGGGTGCTGAAGTAGATCATAAACTTATCGAGAAGTTTACGAAGTTAACTCCTTCATACAGGTATGAAGGAATCTGGAATAGTAAGAATTCTAGCGTAGATTAATCTGTCTAACAAACAGCTTATAACAAACTCTCAGGAGGCAATGGAGCACGTGTTAGTTTTTATTTGGATGCAGTTCCTTTCCAGGTGAAAAATTGCAATGATAAAAAAGATCGGGCGTTTCATTGGTTTCCAGAATGTTGTTAATAACAGAATAACTAATTTTCTCTTTTTTGGTCTAGCATGTTTATGGAATTATGGGAAAATTTTTTTTTAAAGCCGACTGATTCAGTTGATAAAGCATTACTAAATTTTCCAATTCTAGTTCAAAAGGAGGAAAAGGCTTGGAGATCAACAAAGGCTGATTATTTTTTGCCCATCAAACGGGCTGTGTTCGGAATTGGATATCAGTGTTTATCCATAGGGGGTTAAGTCGACTTTTGATTTCGAAAACCTGGAGAATTTTACCAATTTTAAATATTTTGTTGCAATTATACTTAATTGTATCTTAATTTTTTGTTACGTCTGATGGTCATAAAATAGTGTTAAATGAAGGAAATTTTCTCTTGTCTTTCAGTTTTGTAGATTTCTTGCTCATGGATTTGTTACGCCAAAATCAGAATAGTGAAACTCAGTATTCCTCCTACATTTTCCTTAAGGAGAGTCAATTAATTTCTTTGTATTGCTTTACAATGATGTTCATACATTTTTGTAAATTTCAATCAACGCTTCTACAACTTAATTAAAACAACTATTCAATCCCTCGAAGCAGTAAATCTAGTATTCATCAAGCCAATACTATTTACACGAGTCGTGGGTTTAAGTGTAAATTTATTCTTATTATGAACCTGTTTCGATAGAATTTCAACAAGACAATCAACAACTCACTCGGTCTTCAAGTTTGTTGTGATTTTAATCTATGTACTTTTTTGGTCTACGTAGAAGATAACAAGGAAAGAAACCCAAGTCGAATAAACTTAAAATCCAAGTGCCGCTGTAGACAGGTGACAACAGGTAAGCAGTGTCGGTGGAGTGTGTGTGTGTGTGTGCGCGTGTGGTAGTGGCGGGCGGGGTGGACGATGCAGCGTCGCCGCGACGGACACATCCCCGGCGCAGGCGTGAGATCATGGCGGTCGGCGGAGCGTCGGTATTGACGTATCGGCATAGTCTAGGTGGAAGTGCGATGTGTGAAACGTGAATAAAGTGGTGCATGGTGTTCCATGGGCTGTGTATGGGATCGTGATCGACACCATGCAGAAGGACACTCCACCAGGTCCCAGCACCGACCAACAGTTTGTCGGCCCTTACCGTCTGGACAAAACTCTGGGCAAAGGACAAACGGGTAACTACCCTAATGATATCTCCATCCCTGTGTGCTGCTACACTATACACCTGACCACAATACATATTACCTTACACTCACACACAGCTACAGACTACACGGTCAGTTCTCCTCGAACCCCGAATATTTCAATCTGTCAAATCTCAATTTGTTTGAACAGATTCTGTGTATTTAAAATGTTATTTTCCTTAAAGATTCTACCATGAAACTTGATGTTTACACTTTTATTTTATTGAATTTGTCGTGATATTTGGTACACTAACCTGTAGTAGTAACCAACGTAAATACAAATCCACAGATATTCCGCAGTCATATAATTCTGTTATGGTTGTTTATGACTAAGAGCCAGCCGAGGGGTTTTTTGGTCGGTGTCAGGGGACTTGGATAATTACAAATAATTAATGTGGCTCTAGTGTGAGTGGGTGTACCGAGTTGCCGATTCGATCGGTTTTGGTTTAGGCACGTGTACCAAGGCTCATTCACAGCCCTCGGTCGTACATATTGGCCCTCTAACCTACGCCATCTAATCAACATGTCGCTCAGCCATTTTCGATGCAGCTGTTGTTTAACTTCCGATGCGGTTATGTAAATTTCTTTTAAACTCGCCACTCATAAATGTATTTTTTCCCAATCTTGCGATCCAAAACACATGCTATTTTGACGGAGTTTTATGTATCTTTGGTGAATGATATTTGGGACACGCTAATGCGGTGTTTATTGTTGCCACTCCCTGTGGAGTGTGGAGTCCTTAGCGACTTGATCACTACATTAAAATAATCATCTTCCGGATAAACTCCACACGAGATTACCCAGGGTCACTTTGAGTGAGGTTTGATCTCAAAACTGTTATTTTGCTTAAACAAATGAGTTCACGTGAACATATAACATGTGCTTTGAGTTAATATAAATCGTAGTAAGCTGAAATTTACTAGTAGCCTACACACATTGAATTCCCAGACATCAATCAATTTGAATGATTTAAAATGGCACAAATTGCACATGTTTGTTTGTCAGCATAAATTTGAACTAATAATGGATCTAATTAGCTTAGTACATGGTCCCTTCTCTAAGTGAGAATGTGTGACAGTATGACGGTCGTGTAAATATTATTTCCCGTTTTATCATAAACACGGATATGTATTCATTCATAAGCATTGTATCACTGAGGAATACATGAACAGTTAATTCGAATTACTCTTGCTCATCAAACCTTTATCATTACGAGAATCACCAAAGAAGTCCTGAATAAAAAGCACTATTTTAGCCTCCGATAGCCTATCAGCTAACACGTTGTAACTAATGCAAATAGCAAATAGTTGATTAATATTATATGACCATTAGACTTTTACCACATAAGATTTATGGTTAGTTTTTACAATTAAAAAATTAAGCCTTACTATAAAAACCATATCAGGATCCCCTTGGTGTAAATAAAATTGAGACAGGCAATTGGTACATTACAACTGAGTGTTGTGCTTTATACAAAATACCTATTCGCCTACACAATTTCTTTATACAATTCTAAATAACTGAAATATAAAAATCGCAGGGTAAAACATGGAAATAAACCTTTTGAAATTACGTGACTGACTTGCTTCAACCCCGCTGATATTTTTCTAATTGTTTTTCCTCAATTTCTTCAGAAAGGGTGATATTTGATGCAATTAGAGCCAGCTAGGAGTATAACGCTACTTGTGTTGTCTGTTTTGTGTGACGATATAGCTAGAGGGAGCACATGCGCACCACTGCCACTGCCGACATGATCACATCGACTTTGGTTTGTTACAAGGAATTGCTCCTCGTCGCCCAATTACGTTGGAAATATCCGTGTAATAGTAATTGTTGACGAAATAGACTTATCGGTATCGACTCGAGTCTATTAAGGACTGTAAAAGGCGATATTAATAGATATAGAAATATTTGTTTGCTTTAGATAGAAATGAAAATTAATTTATTGTTAGATTAATTAATAAATAATATTTGTTACTCTTAATTTTGTTGAGCATAATAATTTCAACATTTTGTATTTGTTACAATTATTTAAGAATACATTTTTAGTTGACTTTGAAAAAAGGAAATAATATTGTTACAGAAGTTTGTTAGGTGTGGGTGTAGATTTAATGAATAAAACTGTGGAATTGTAAGATTAAATTCTAAGGTTATTATCACGGTTTTTTAGTGTCAGTTTAAATAATAATAACCAACTAGAGTTTGGTTTTGCTTTAAAGTACCCTAATCAACCTAAAATCTTAACAAATCTCACTGAATACAACACTGGCCAAAAATTAACCCATACGTTTTTGAGCATGGACTGTTTAAAATATTGTTACACGTTCAATATACAGTAGGTTAAACTTGTATTTTGGGTTGTGTCGTTGAGAATCAAAAGTTAGGCGATTAGGAAATACCGAGAGCCAAATAAATAAGCAAAATGTAAACCCTGCGATTTAAAGAATTCCTTTGGGTGAAATCTGTCATAACATTGTGTTTTAAATATACACGAAAGCGATTCGATTACGGCCTATATAAACATTACTACATTGTTGATGATAGCTCATTGGCACTAACACATTATGTAAATATGATACTTTTGGAAGTTTTATAAACAAACTCACATCTCTCGTCGTAAAATTATTTTAACTGTATTTTACCGTGGTGTTAACCTTTAGAGAATTCAGAAACGGTGATACAGATTTATTAAAAAATATATATATATTTTAAAATAAGTTTTCTGTGCAAAGGAGTATTGAAATTATGAATAATTATATCACGCTCCTATTGAATTTAATTTAATAGTTTGGTGAAATTAAATACAAATACAAAGTTTGGTAAAATGTTAACAGATACATAATTACCATGTGAATTAATATTACCTTATAAAATTTATCTTGTTACTTGATAGTCCGAATACTGAGACGTTTTCGACACCAAAATTAGCACTAAACTATTATTTTCATGACAACTTGGAGATCGTAAGTCTACATGTTGTAGCTACAGCAAAGTTCTGAATTTCGTTTCACCTCGGAAAGGGGAAATTCAAATACATTATTCTCTACTGTAGCCCGCGGGACTTCGTTTTTGCAGTGAGGATTCTTTCCTATTATTCTTTTTCTGTCTTTACTTTCCCAGAAATACAGTTGCGACAGCAAATCTACTATATAGGGAATAAGCTGTTACCGTAGGTAAGACCTAGATCTGGAACCGATTGCCTTTTTAATTTTGATGTCTCCAGAGGTCAAAAACACTATATGATCAAATTCACACACGCACGCAACTTGAGTAACAATCATCAGATTTGTATTAAATTTGGTACAAACGTGTATTCAAACGAGTTCGCGGACCGGCATGATCGGCCCATGGAACATGGGTAAGGGGGGGGGGTTTAAATTGGGATTCCCATTTTTGCCTCTTAAAATAAAAATTTTATCCTTTCCAAGTCATTTTGTAGAACTTGTAAAAACAAATAGTGTAGTATTTAAGCGTTGTACGCTTAATGGTTATGGAGAAAAGTCCAAATAACCACAATAATTTAGTAAATTTAAAATTCCCATTTTATTCTTACGAATAATAGGTAAATTGTTGTAGTTTGCCTTGTATGTTTGAATACAATAATGGTGGAATATGATTTTAGTGTAGTTAGGAAATAAATTAGGATTAGGTTCACTTGTTCATTATAGATTTTCCTTAACAAAAACCTGAGAGGCAAATGACGACACTCATGGTGCAACCGGTGTTAGAAATGCCATAATGCAGCATTCAAATACAGTCATAAATAGAGGATATAGTTTTAAATAAAGGTTGGACACCTTTTGTCCTACACGTCAATGTCATCAAAATGAAGTCTATTAATGGAACTTTTGTCACGTGTGTCACTGGCTCTAAAGAGATTGACTTCAGCCTAAACGTCAATGTGGACTGCATTCAGCAATTGATGGAATATTTAGTCCACAAATAAAGATGACCGCTCACTGTCTTTGGTCTGGAACCACCAACCCCGGTTAAATACTGGAGGGGTGGACTTGAAATTTATGTACTCTTTGCTACACGATTTTTCCATTTTAGAACACCATTCTAGATATTTTGGGTCCAGTTAGTTACACCAGTCCCCTAAAAGTTGCAAGCTTATAGTAAGAATCAACGCACTGATATAAACCTAGATAATATGTGTTTGTTTGCATTGCAATAGTTATGCTACATGGCGTATAAAGGCGTAACCCCTTATAGATGCTATACTTTTAATGTAATAGTAACAAAATATTTGATCTCATTGAAGGTTTGAATATAACAATAGGTTTTAAGATAGCCCCTAAACGATTTGTCATAAATTAAATTAAGCTGAATAAAATCGCTTGTTCTTGTTCGATATATGCTGTAGTGTGATTTAATGTTTACCTTTTTTTTCTTGTTGTTCAACCAACTTTTAAAACAAATAAAACAGTATATTTAGAAACTATTGAATGTCATTCGTTATTTTCCCCAAAGGGTAATGCCTACTGTGAAATTTACAAAATAAGAGAACATATTCAGTTGCCACCTGTCACCCGTATCCGGGCATTAACCCGCGTCTTAAGGCTTATGATTTCATCGTACGATGAAATGTAAACTAGCACTATCAAAAGCCAAGTCGAATATAGTTTTAATTGCTAATTGCAAAGCCTGAAAAGTCAAGGCCTATTAAAATCTGTATATTACATTTTTCTCATTTGATGAGCAAATAATTCACTGATGAATTTCCTTGATATGAATTAATCAGTAACTTAGTCATCAAGACTGCACTAATCAAGAGAAACTTAAGGTTTGAATTAACGTCTATGCATTGTTCATGGCAGTAAATATTGCTCACTCCAATAACTTGTGATGAAGATAAATTGATTATTTAATGATTAATGATTTGTCCAATGAGTCGATTTATGCTAAGTTCGAGGATTACTACAAATTTCTGTAAATGACACATGCCTAACAGAAACTGTGACAATACATGATGCTCTGTTAACATCTAG